CACACACACACACACACACACACACACACACACACACACACACACACACACACACACACACACACACACACACACACACACACACACACACTGGCAGAAATATAAGGCAGCAGCTCCGTAGAGATAAAACAGAACAATGAACATCAGTTTCTGAGCATCAGTCATATTTTGTCAGCCTCTCTGCTCCATGAAGACTGGACTCCTAAACCTTTGATGATGATGATGATGATGATGATGAAGGTTATTCTAAACATGGAGGATTATAATAATTTGAGTTTTTGGAGGATTAGAAGATGTGTTAACGGTCACATGAATGTTAATGTTCTCTACACATGTTCCCTTTTTTTTCCCAGAATGCCATCCTTCATGTGAGACCTGCAGTGGGGCGGGGCCTCTGTCATGCTCGTCCTGCCACGCCGCCAGCGTCCTGTTGCCCTCAGGTCTTTGTGCCCCTAAATGTCCCATCGGTTACTACGATGACGGCCGTCGGATCTGTCAGAGTAAGACCCGACAGAACCACAGCATCCAGTTTTCAGCTCATGATATGTAAAACTAGCCGAGCTTTAGCCTTTTTATTTTGTTCGCTGAGGCTGAGCAGCTATGGCAGCCATCTTGGACAGGGCAGACTCAGAAAGATGTTTTGGTAAAATCTTTTTTTTTTTTGTTTGGTTTTCTTCCCCACCACTAACTGAAACAAGATGTGCTAACCACCAATGTTAGTGTTGTTCATCAACTCACACGAATGTAAAAAACTGTCTGTAGTCGTCACGCTGGTTGTTGTTTTCTTTGGAACAATTCCAAATAGCTTCAGTAGCTGCGTTTCCATTGACCATGAAAATGCGCAAATTAGAATTTCGAAAATAAATTTGCTCAATGGAAACACGTCAATTTCGCAGAAAATTATGTTTTTCGACAAATTGTTTTTGCGCTAGGATGAGGTGGTTTTTCGGCCGTATCGAAATTGGTGTTTTTCGCAAAACTGCAATAGAAACACTTTTTTCACATCATGGGAGTCACGTGATCAACAACCGGCTGTTTCTACTGGCGAAAAAGACGATGATGAAAAAGATAACAGGAAGTAGAAGTAGTGGTAATATCACAGAAGTAGTATAAAATAGTAAACTCACCGACTACAATTTCCCAAAAACACAGCATACGTAGCCGCTCCCAAGTAGGGGCTTGTCTCTGGAAAGCCTCGATAAAAGACGCCGACGTCTCCTCTGATGATGAGCGCTAGTGTCGTGGTAGCAACATGCTATGTGTTTACATCCATCGCTGCCATGTTTGTAATGACTTATTGCGAGAACAAACGTATTCACGCATGGCTTTAATAGCATTTCTTACTTAATGGAAACACCACAGTTGTGAAACTGTGTTTTCGACATTAACAGAATATCGACAAAGTTTTGTGCACATTTGCAATGGAAACACAGCTACTGTCAGACGGAACGAGCGCTGTTTCATTTAAACGGCGTTGTGTAAACAGAACCGTAGAGTCGGACTCTTAAAACATTAAACACTTCAGAATAAAATAAACTCTGGAGCGGGTTAAACTTGTCATGTGCACTTTGGATATTTAGAATCAGAATGACCTCTTTAATGATTTACTGGTTTTATCTCTCAGTTAATGAGTTTCCAGGCTGACATGTTGATTAAATAATAGAAACATTCCAAAATCCAATTTATTTCTGTCTCGGACAGAAACAAAAAGGATTTAAAAAAAAAAAACAAGAGGATGAAAATGAAACAGTGTTTATTTGAAACAAAAACAAATCCAAAACAAGAGCCGCTCGTGTTTCTGCTTTGAATGATGCGTCTTCAAGGAGGTTTTGTGATTTATATTTAAATGATTTGATGGAACAAAAAGACAAATCCTTGTTAAATAATGAATCTGTAGTTAATACATAAATATGTTTCTGTTAGAGCTGTGGAGTTCTATAATTTAATCTTTTCCATGACTTTGAGAAAAATCAGTGGTATTAAGAGATCTCCTTTAAGGAATGCTTATCGCCCGCTGTATGGCGTTACATTTGTGCCACCAGCTTGAGCGTGCAATAACAGTGAGTTGAGAGCAGATATCAATATAAACAACCCAAGTTGTATGTAAACGAACCACATCAGCAGCCAATCACAGACAGAGTTTCTTTCATCCAATCAAAGCACTTATTGCAAATCTACTAAACCAAGAGAGTGAAGTGACAAAATCTAAGATGCATTAAATCAGCAAATGATATATTTTATATATTTAGTTAAGCATACAAATATGCTTACTGTCATTGTGCATTTTAGGCACTGCATTTCTGTAATCCAGGTAGAAAAAAACACAAAGTTTAACTTAACTTTTGAAATTATTATTATTATTATTATTATTAGGCTATTAGGCAATATTTCTTAATTACATTAAGATAAATTACTGTTGGTTTTGATATTATTTGTAGATATTCAAATTAATATATTAATCCCTCTTCATTGCTGATATTCTGCTGTATCAAGAGTGCTTAGTAGAATTGGAATATTTACAAATAATATCAAAACCAGCAAGTAATGACACCTAATGTATTTTAGAAATATTTTCTAAAATACACAATGACAGTAACTGTGTTTCCATTGTAAATGTGCACAAAACTTTGTCGAAATTCTGTTAATGTCGAAAAAACACAGTTTCACAACTGTGGTGTTTCCATTAAGTAAGAAATGCTATTAAAGTCACGTGAATACGTTTGTTCTCATGATAAGTCATTACAAACATGGCGGTGATGGATGTAAACACATAGCATGTTGCTAACACGACACTAGCGCTCATCATCAGAGGAGGCGTCGGCGTCTTTTATCGAGTCTTTCCAGAGACAAGTCCCTACTTGGGAGCGGCTACGTATGCTGTGTTTTTGGGAAATTGTAGTTGGTGAGTTTACTACTTTATTTAACTACTTCTGTGATATTACTACTATTTCTACTTCCTGTTATCTTCTTTGTCATCGTCTTTTTCACCAGTAGAAACAGCCGGTTGTTGATCACGTGACTCCCATGATAAGAAAAAAGTGTTTCCATTGCAGTTTTGCAAAAAACACCAATTTCGATATGGCCGAAATACCACCTCATCCTAGAGCAAAAACATTTTGTCGAAAAACATAATTTTTTTCGAAATTGACGTGTTTCCATTGAGCAAATTTATTTTCGAAATTCTAATTTGTGCATTTTCATGGTCAATGGAAACGCAGCTAGTGACCACATTTTTATGCTTAACTAAATATTGTTGGGCTACAAAATTGAAATACATTATCTTTTGCTGATTTAATGCATCTAAGAGGTCACTTCAGTCTCTTGGTTTAGTAGATTTGCAATAAGTGCTTTGATTGGATGAAAAAAAAACCTGTCTGTGATTGGCTGGTGATGTGGTTCATTTACAAACAACTTGGGTTGTTCATATTGATATCTGCTCTCAGCTCACTGTTATTGCACACTCATGTTGGTGGCACAAATGTAACACCATACCGCCACTTTGTATGACCTGTTAGAGCTCAGAGTATGTGCTGAGAAGACTCTCAGCTACTACCACACCAAGTTTTAGCTCAATATCTGGGAAAGTTTCGATAAAATCCATCAAATCAGACTCGTTTATTTATTTATTTTCTTCAGTTGTTGTTTCATTCTTTTACACCGGGGTTGAAATCTTTTCAAAATATAAAATATATATTTTTTATTTGACCTTTTCAGCCTGAAACACTAATAATCTTTTAAAATAAGATGTGAAATGTTTAAAAAAATCCAATTATCAAACTGTCAGCAGAGCCTGAAGCGTGTCAGCTGATCTCAGGTGTTGTTCTGTTCTCTCGCTCTCAGTTCTGACATATTTATCCAACATTTTTAAATTAAAATTTTTTTTGTCAGGATGCGACAGTCAGTGCCGAACGTGCGACTCGGCCGGCGCCTGCACCTCCTGCCGCGACCCGACCAAGGTTCTGCTGTTCGGAGAGTGCCGCTACGACAACTGCGCTCATCAGTACTACCTGAACGGCACCGACCGGACCTGCAGAGGTACTGCTGCTGCTGATTAATAACGAGGATGTTTCCTTCGCCCTTTGATATTCATAAATGACTCTGCTGCCTGTAGTGAAGAAGAGCAGGAGGAGTTTATGGACTCCATCAATCAAAGTAATAAACTCCGGGTCCAGATATGCAAATGATTCCAACTATTGTGCATCTGTGTTTTAACATCTCCTGCACAAAGCAGCTGATGGATGAGGCTCACAGAAAATATATGATTCTTTCCTTCTGAAGCCTGTAGACGTGCCCTGAGCCTCTCAGAGATGGACCCAAACAGATTTACATATCTGTAGTTTTATAAGCTTTGCCAACAATTAGTGCTGAGTAACTTGGCTGAAAAATGTATCACAGTATATGTTGTTCATATCAGTCTATAGATAATTATTAATTAGTTTTTATCTTATCTATTTGAAATAAGGACCAGGAGAAAAACGACTGATTAATGCTGCCAAACTGGTCATGTGACCTTTACTCTTTTATCCACAATTTCCTCTCAAGTCGTTTATCTATATTAACTATATTATTCACATCTGTGGCAATATATATCATTATCGTTTTCTATTGATACTGATCACGTGTCTATCGCAATATATATGTTATTGTCATCCACTGAAATTAATCACGTCTAACGCAATATATATCGTTATTATTATCTATCGATATTAATCACGTCTAATGAGATATATATCATTGCTTTCTATTGATATTAATCATGTCTATCGCGATATATATCGTAATTGTTTTCTATCGCTATTAATTATGTCTATCGCAATATATATTGTTATTGTTTTCTACTGATATTAATCACAACTATTGCGATATATATCGTATTTGTTTTCTATCTCTATTAATTACATTGCGATATATATCGTTATTATCTATCGCTATTAATCACATCTATCGCAATATATAACGTTATTGTTTTCTATTGATATTAATCACAACTATTGCGATATATATCGTATTTGTTTTCTATCTCTATTAATTACGTTGCAATATATATCGTTATTGTTATCTATCGTTATTAATCACGTCTATCGCAATATTTAGCGTTATTTTTTTCTGTTGATATTAATCACAACTATTGCGATATACATCATATTTTTTTTTCTATCGCTATTAATTACGTTGCGATATGTATCGTTATTGTTCTCTACTGATATTAATCACAACTATTGCGATACATATCATATTTGTTTTCTATCGCTATTAATTACGTCACGATATATATCGTTATTGTTTTCTACTGATATTAATCACAACTGTTGCGATATATATCGTATTTGTTTTCTATCTCTATTAATTACGTTGCGATATACTGTATATCGTTATTGTTATCTATCGCTATTAATTACGTCTATTGCAATATATATCGTTATTGTTTTCTATTGATATTAATCACAACTATTGCGATATACAGTATATCGTATTTGTTTTCTATTGCTATTAATTACGTTGCAATATGTATCGTTATTGTTCTCTACTGATATTAATCACAACTATTGCGATATATATCATATTTGTTTTCTATCGCTATTAATTACGTCGCGATATATATCGTATTTGTTTTCTACNTATATCATATTTGTTTTCTATCGCTATTAATTACGTCGCGATATATATCGTATTTGTTTTCTACTGATATTAATCACAACTATTGCGATATATATTGTTATCATTTTCTATTGATATAATCATGTCTATCGCAATATATATTGTTATTGTTTTATCGTCCAGCCTACCAACAACTGTTGGTAATAATCAGACAAAGTTTTAAGCAAAAGTCCATGCAGTCTTTTAGGTAGAGTTAGGAGAACTGTGTGATCCAGTCTGTTCAGGTGGATGGGAACACTGATTACACTGATATCTGGGAGGATCTGGTTAGGCGATCACTTCCAAATTCTAGTCAGTGGTAAACACGAGTCAGTGATTACTTCCTGTGAGCTTGATTCAAATCTGTCCAGTGGTTTATGAGATATTTTGCTAACAGACTGACAAACGCCGGCAAAAATGACATTAAAAAGGTTTAAAGGTGCCAGAAAATGATCAAAATCCTTCAGACTAAATCCAGTAAATTAAAATCCAGTTTTCTTCAGTTTAACCCATAAACCTGGTTCTGGACTCTGGAAGTTCTGTTCATCCTAAATATGTTTGAGTTTCATTCTGGCTTTAATCACACTCAGCACAAACCCTCCAGATGTGCTGCAAGTGAAAATCTCACAAATGTGTCTAAAAATCTATTAAATGTGTCTCTGTTGTGTTTATCTGCCTGCGCTGAAATCCCCTCACCTCTAATCCAAACCTGCTCCTCCTCCCCCTCCTCCTCCCCCCTCCTCCTCCTCCTCCTCCTCCAGAGTGCGACTGGAGCTGTAACACCTGCAGAGGTCCGCTGCGGACCGACTGCCTGCAGTGCATGGAGGGCTACGTGCTGCAGGACGGGGTCTGCTCACCGGGCTGCTCCGCCGGCTTTTATCAGGACGGAGACAGCTGCTTCGGTCAGTCCAACACCGTGTTTCTCTCACATCAGCCGAACTTCGGCTGATTTCCACCTCAGTTCTCATAATCTACTTTTGATTAAAGCTGTTAATCAACAGCAGCAGAGTTCCCCAAGAGATCGTTTCATAAAAATATGAACCTTGATGATGGTTTCTTTAAATTATTCCTGCGGGTCTGAACAGAAACCAGTCTGAAGCTGAAATGTTTACATGATTAACGAGGACATCGAGGACACCTGGAGACATTTGAGACAAATATGGAGGACAAGAATGCTCCATTTGTTTGAAAATTTAATAAACAGCTGAGGTTTGTCTGAACTGTTGACAAGACAAACAGAGGCTAAAGTTAGCAAAACAGTAAGTAAAGGCTAAAATCTGAAAAAGCAGTTAAAGTCCAAAACTTTCAACACTGGCTAAACATTAAAAGTAGCAAAATGTTGTCTAAAAGCTAAAATAAACAAATTGTAACTAAGAACTAAGAACAAAAAAATGCATAAAAACTGAAAATATTAGCTAAACAGATGCTAAAATTAACCAACCTAGCTAAAAACTTGAACTGGTAACTGTCAGAAAGTTAAAATAAGCTAAACGGTGGCTAAAAGCTACAATTAGAGACAGTAGTTAGAAGCTGCTAGTTGAAAAATCACAGCTAAAAGCTAAAGTTCATAAAAAAAAATTCAGTTTCAATTTTTTATTCATTTCATTAAAACAAAACAAATAATGTTATATACAATATAC